TGGTCACCTCCTATTACCAACAAAAAGAAAAGAAAATTTGTGCAAAGCTCTTTGGGGCAGTGTGTGAGTTATAAGAGTAACGGTCAAATTCCACTATTCGATCTTACAAGAGTTGTTCAAGAGTTGGCGGTTGGTAGTGCTGACTAGCTACCTTTCCTCTAGCCTATCACTATATTTTACTATATTATAAAACTTAGTTATATGCCAAGTTTTAATTATAGACTACTCAAATTTGTTAAATGTTTCTTTTATTTTCTCAACAGATAAAAGTTGAACTCACTAACTCTGCTTTAATTGGCAAGACCTCTGAAGAATATTGATTTAATAGGATCCTTTGTATTGATAAGTTCCTTTTCTGTTTACCTTTTTTTTATAACTTCACATACAGATACATTGGACATAGACGTAATCAACAGCAATGGAACTGTTGATATATTGTTTTGATAACTGTCAAAATCCAAGGGATTCCTTCTTCAAATAGTAGCATTCTTTCATAATTCATTATTTCATTACAAGTTACACATTTTACAGTAAAAACGAGTACTTTTAAAAATATTTTTCTTACTGTAAAAGCTGTAACTTGACAAAATTAATATTTATAATCAGTAAGCAAACTCAACGCGAAGCTACTACTTCGTTCCTCTTTATACCTTCTGAATAACTCAGCGGTAAACTTGACAGCATAAAACGCTAAAATTCAGGTCTTTATTTTCCGCAGATACTGCATTTATGTAGCTTTATAGAAAACAAGAAACAAATAAGCACTTATCTTTAAAATATATAAATTGTTTACACTTAATTACACAGTGAAACATCTGTAATAAATTGGAAATATTTTTTCTGATATAGACCTGTCCAGTAATAAAGCCTGAATATAATAATTTTAAATAATAGCAATTATTTAAATATAAAAAGTAATAAATATTGAAGTGTTACTTAAATACGAAAGTGTCAAAATTTGTTATATTAAATAAATGTTCTAACAGCTGATTATTTTTGTTACATCATGCCTGTTTTGCCTCACACCACGTGGTAACTGAGTATCATGTACACAACCAAACTCCTGTTTTAACAGCATAATGTCAAGGTTGGGTGTTGCACTAGATTATTAAAATTTGTAAAGACAGCGGCAGTTTTTTATTCATCTTGAATAATAATATTTGTTTATGAAGTAGATATATTAACTTTCATTAGGCACTGTTTATGCAGGTATGTGACAATTATGGGGTTTGAATAAGAATCCGCTGTTGTCCATTTTTAATAACATGTTTCCTTGTTTGTTTTACTTTCCTATTTTGTTTTTCTGTGTTTTGTTAACAGTAAATGACTATATATGGTGAATCATAGTTTCAGATGTGAAACGTCGTAAACTTTAACACTCATTGGTATTCCTAATTTTTAAATTCACATTTTATGTTTGCTCTCATTTTAAAGGTTTCTCAATGTACTGATCACCCTCGTTATGCCATTCCTCGCCATGTAAAGTGTACTCTGATTATGCGATGCTGGTTCTTTGTGGCCATGTTGTCCTATTGTTCCTCATACTGAATTAAAGTCCACAGTTTCATTTATTACAACATAATTTATATGAAAATAATATATTTATATATGCTTTAAAATATTCTGATTTATTTAGTAAGAAATAGGCTACAGGTAAAAAGTAGAATTAAACTGAAAAAGAGAGTTTATTTCAAAAACGTTTCCTTTATTTAAGGTGAAAATAACCGTGGCCTTGTTTTCATAAAAAAGCCTTGTCGGATTTTATATAATTGAATTTCTTCTTTGAGTTTTAATATCCTCTTCAGGATTGTGAACTACTTGAATATTTATTCTAAAGCTACCAAGTTTTGAAATATATCAAGCCAGAATTCTTCATCATGTAAGTTCACCTTTCAACTTCAGAATAATAGGTTAAACAACATTAAAACTGTTTAAAGTTGGTACATGTTGCCGAACTGTCGAGATCGATTTGTTGCTGCAGTTTAGTTTACATGTTTCTGTGTTATAAAATATCTATTCATTGTAAAAGTTATATTGAAAAATGTAAGAATTTATCAAGCATTTCATTCAAAGGCTGAGAAACTGATCGTAACAAAACAGTTAGTGGAGTGAGGTATCTCCGAAGTACGACTCATTTATTGAACTTAAAACAAATTTTGTGTAAAAAATGTATATAAAGACATAAATATTTTTATTTATATAATATAAACTTTGCATTTTGTAGTTTTTATCAAAAATTATAAAAGTAAAAGGCATCTGTGTAACTATATACCTATACATATGTATATGTATTGCTTGTTTCTTAAATGTCGCGCCGACCTACTGGAGGTCTATCTACGCTAGCTGTCCCTGATTTAGAAGGGAAGATAGTTAGTCATCAGAATCCACCGCTAACTCTTGGGTTACTCTTTACCACCGAAAAGAGAGATGGACTGACGCATTATAACGTCGTAACGGATGAAAGGGCGAGCATGATCGTTGACGGGGTCACAGATATGTAGACTAGAATTTAATTGTAATAAATCTCATGGGAAATATATTCATTTCCCTCTTGAAGATCATGACCATATATATATATGTATCTATATATATATGTATATAATATTTGTGAGGTTCCAAGATTTGCCTTCGGTTACTCTCCCCCCTCCAGAAAAAAAGAAAGAAAACGTGCTCCGCACTTTGAGGCTGTATGTGCATTATAAGAGTGATGGCCAAACTCAACTATTAGATTACAATAGCTCACGAACTTATGGTGAGTGGTGTTAGATAGTCATGGAGTAGCTTTAGGTGAAATTCAACATACAAACAATATTTAGTTTAAGATTTAAAATTAAACACATTTTTCATATTAAAAATCTATAGCTTCAAACTATTTATTTTCCTAATATTAAAAGTAAGGTCTAAAACTTCACCACCCTAGCGCATCGAAATAAACTCTAAAATATATACAATTAAACATCGCACAGCATTTAAATAATTACCCAATAAAATGTATTCACACATTTTTCGGTGACCTACGTTATCATCATCAGGAATGAAAGTTCAAGATCGATTAAGACTTATATAACTACACAAATTTACACACCTCTAGCGCCATCTATACTTATAAAACAATTGTCCAATACTTTGTTTCTTCTAAATCTTGATCTATCTTCCCGTTTAGCACACTGTATTTGTTTTTTCAATTTCTATAGTTTCGCTTATATTTAATTAACATTTTAATTTCACCTGATTTATTAGTTTGGTATTATTCCATTTATGTTTTAATCATGTTGTCAACTTTACACTTTCTTTTACCTTTGTACATTATGACATTTTTAATTTATTGCTATGTTTTATGCATAACCTATCAATAATTTCTAGATCATAGCCTCTGTATCTGGCTACATATTTCAAATAAATAACTCTAATAACTCTAATATTAATCATGAGTGTAGATGTTTTAAGCTTTAAATACAAATGTAGAAAAGGCGGATAATTAGCTATAATCGCAGTACTGATTAAACAATAATGAGAGTCTAAGCAATTAATTATTTACAAAAACTAAATTTTCAAAATTAAGTTAGGATAACACAGGTCTGCGAATTTAAACTTCATAAAAGTTGTTTTGGTTTTTATAACGGTTTTTCCATAATTTAGGTACGCAGGCTTTGAAAATAGTATTCATTTTTTATAAATCGGGAAGAAAAAAAACTCTTACTTAGATCAAATTATTATTTCTTTTACCACAATGAACATTTTTTATTATTATGTTTGTTAATAAAAATACAAGGAAACTGAAAAAAATGGAAGAACATTGATGTCATACGACTATGGATCCTCATTCATCCTTATTTATTTTGTGAAATCTTGTTTGTTTGAAGTTAAGCACAATGCTACACAATGGGCTATCTGTGCTCTGACCACCACGTGTATCGAAACCCGGTTTCTTGTGAAATCTACGTAATTTCGTTTCAAAACTTCCTGTTGTGGTTTTTCTTTTATGTATTGCTCTATGACGTTTTGTTAAAAATCTGTAAGTGATGGAGAAAAATGGATACCATTTTCGGGTTCAGTGAACAAAAATTACTGTAGAACATGTAAACATTTCAAGATTATAAAACCATCGTAGGCCTATGTAATTTCATCAAGATTGGACGTTATCTTCAAACTTTTAAATCCTCATTTCAGGACTTCTTACCTCAGATGTATGAAATATAGAAGGCCCCGTGCTTAATAGGTTTAATTACGTTATTTGCATATGCAGTTTTTGTCAAACCGGATTTTGCATATAATAAAGTCATCAAATTTCCATTTCCAACGCCGCCAAAATCAGATGAAATACTGGTACGTATTTCCTACTCGAAACTAGCACTGAGCGTTTAATAGTAAAGTATTCAAATTTATATGTCATTTACATTGTAATATTTGGTATATATATATATACATATAATAGTACTGTCTGTTGTCTGTACATGTAACTACTTCGCATGGTTTGGATGGATCTTCACCAAAATTGGTATGGAGGTTTATTATGTCCATGCGGGGATACATATACATTTTCAGTTTTGCATTTTGCGATTTTTTATTGGCGTTTTTT